AATACAGTTCTTCCAGTTTTGCCCATTGTCCATCCATTCAGTCACTGTTCCCTGGTGTTCCATTTGATGATGTTCTTGGCTGTCTGTTGTGTGACAGGTGACAAGTCGCTATCTCTGAATTACAAAGTTATATCTGCTCAGTACCTAGTTTTGGGAAATTTGACGTCAAAGATTCTGCGTTTCACATCGTGCCAAGCTTTTTCGAATGCAATTCTTTGAATATCTTGATAACAGCTCCGAGTAATCGTACGATTTTAATAGAGCAGATGGAACATCTATTGGCTTTTTGTCTCATTGTCATAGTTTCTCCAAACGGCCAAAAGAGTCAGATAGAACTCTGTAATTCTGAGGTAGCGAAGTGAAAGGGGACAGGTTTATCGCCTTCAACACTATTTTTCTTCTTTTTTTTGAGAGGTGGGGGGGGGGCGGTACTTCACTTCGGCCCTGCCTTTTAGGGCCAAACTGGGCTAAGTAAAATACAACGTACTCGATCTAAAAATTAAAAAAACAACATGAGAAACATACATCAGACGGACACATACCCTACAGCGACCAACCCGGTGGTACCGACTTACCTTTCAGTTTTTCCGCCAACGAGGGGTCGGGATCATTCGGCGACGTATCTCGAGGCGGGGATTTGTCCAGTATGGCTTCTTCTGTTTTTGTTTTAGGAGGCAAATCTTCAGTCTCTTTGAGTGATATTTTTGGCTTGATTTTGTCATTCTGCTTTTCACCTTTATTTAAAGAAAAAAAAGAGAGAAAGAGATCGGGAATTTCCTTATTTTGGATCTTTTCATTTTGATTCGAAACCATGTGCTGCTCTTGTCCTTATTTTGTAATATCCCTGATTTGGGAAAAGATACTCAACTCATAATTTGATATACATGTATTTATATTAGAATTAAGTCTTCAGCTTAAGGTATGGTTTTGATAAGCTGGTTGATTGATTGGTTGGTTAAAATAATATGTTGGCTACTTATCAAGCTGGTTGTTTAGTTGACAAGATAGATAAGTGACTAACTGGACGAGCTCATAGTTGTGTGTGTGTGCTTGTATATGATAATAATAAT